CCCCCCCGGGCTACAAGGGACCCCGCTGTGAGGGCGGTGACCGCTCCAAAGCTTGCCAAAACGGTGGCACCGCCGTGGGGACGAAGTGCTACTGCCCGCCGGGATTTCAGGGTTCCCTTTGTGAACAGCCGGACCCCGCCGGCGCCTGCCAAAACGGGGCCACGGCTTTTGGGATGGGGTGCGTGTGTCCGCCGGGATACCAGGGAGACGTCTGCCAGCACCCGGAGGAGGCCAGCTCATGCCTAAACGGTGGCGTGGGGACGAAGTGCTACTGCCCGCCGGGATTTCAGGGTTCCCTTTGTGAACAGCCGGACCCCGCCGGCGCCTGCCAAAACGGGGCCACGGCTTTTGGGATGGGGTGCGTGTGTCCGCCGGGATACCAGGGAGACGTCTGCCAGCACCCGGAGGAGGCCAGCTCATGCCTAAACGGTGGCACGTTGGTGGGGGTGGCCTGCCACTGCCCGCCGGCAGCCTGGGGACCCCGGTGTGAGTGCACCGGCCCGGCCACTGCCACGGTGCCCAACACGGCCAGGACCCCAAGCACAGCGGGCCACGAGAACACCTCCACCCCGCTGGTGTACCTCAACAGCACCACGCACCCCACGAAGAGCCATGCCACGGTCACGAGCGCCCTGAAAAGCAACACCACGGCCACGCTACCGACGCCCACGGAAAGCAACACCACGGCCATCCCCATAGTGGCACCCAAGGAAGGAGAGCCCCAGGGAGGGAGCCTGAGGGCGCCCAGGGATGGAGGATCCCGGGGGACGGCACCCAGGGACGGGTGGCCCTGGAGAAACCACCTACGGGTGCCCGAGGGGATGCACCCAACCCCCCCAGCGCCACCCTTCTCCCTGTTGTGCGGTGAGGAGGGACCACCGAGCCAGGCTGGGGACAGCGTGGGGGTGGGCACGGGACCCCAGCACCCAAGGGCTTCGTCCCCCCGGGCTGGCAGCGGGCAGAGAGGGGCGAGGACGTGGACGCGGCCCGGCTTTGCCACGTCGCGGCTCGCTTCCAGCCACCCGGGGTGATTCAGCAAGAACTGAGCCCTTGACCTTCTCCTCCTTCATCCATCCATCCATCCCGGGGAGGTTTGGGGAGGGACCGACACCCCAAGGTGGGGCAGGACGAGCGGGCAGCGGGTGCCGGTACCAGTTTCACCCAGTAACAGTTTTCACCGGTAACGAACCCACCACATTTCACCCTAATCTTATCACCGTGCCGGGGGAACCGCGGCTCCCTCCCTCCCTCGTCTCCAACGCAAGGGTTGGGCTCGTCGTGGCCGGTCCAGAGCCGCCTGGAAAGGTGGAACACCACGGGGCCGTTCAGACCTTCTCACGCCCTTTCTATTTCGGCATTTGATTAAAAATTACTCAGCGATTATTTACCGGCGCGGCCCTAACCTTGCGGTTGATGACTGTGCCGGACTCGGCGTACAAAACCATTCCATCCGGTGCCTCCGGCTCAGTCGTTCCGTGGCTCCTTGGGGGTTCTGCTGCTGATGGAGCTGGGTTGCTTCTTCCTCCTCCTCTTCTTCTTCATCCCCTTGGAGGCTCTGTCAGGTAAGAGAGGGGAAGATGGAGAGATCTTCATCCTGCTGGCGGCGAGGCGGCAGCCCACCCTCTCCTCCTTCTCCCACCCCCTCTGAAAAAATCCCTCGAGGGAGTTTTTTGGGGGTCTTTCTGGGCTTCCCGGTCCACTGGAAGCTCCAAAGACCTCGGGCCACCCAACTGCCCTCGGTACGTGGGTGCTGTTCCCAGCCTGGGGTGCCCCACCTGCCCTCCAAGGGCGAAGTCACCCTATGGTGGGCGCCCGGTCCCCTCTTCCCTTCTCCGGGTGGGGGTTTAGTGCCTCGGGCACCCGTCAGAGCCGGCTTTTGGGGAGGGGGAACCCTCCCCCGGCCTCCTGGGGCCTCTCCTGGGGAGGTGGGTGGGAGGGTGTTGACAAACCGGTGGTGGGGTGGGAGCGGACCCGGTCTCCCGGCTCCCTCCTCCGATCCGGGATTCGCCCTCCCCC